TGTGGTGACGGGCGGAGGGGGGGGGGGGGGGGGGGGGGGGGACAAGAAGGTGCTTTGGCGCATGTGTCAATCGTCATCAGTCGGCAAGTTGCGTGTTCCCCCATGTGCCGTCGAGTTTCAAGTCCTTTCTATGTTGTTTTGAGAGATTTTTTCAGGTGTCGTTTCAACCGTTTTTCTCAGATTTCCAGCATTGAGGGAGTCATTCTTGTTGGTTTGATCTTTTTTGGTTTGTCTAGTTTTTGTATCAAAGTTTCTGTATTTGTAATAAGGCCGCTGGTTTCCCCACCATACCCTCTATTATTTTGGTATTTGGTGCTAGTTTTTCATGATCAGCTTAAGGTCATTTGGATGCTTCCCGATTGTGTAGACATCTTTGTCCGGCTAGAATTTTTTTATGTCGCGTTTCTGATGTCCTCTCTTTATGAGGGTTGGTGATCTGTCTCTTCAGAGCTCAAAAGTTTATCTGAATGGGAGAGGTTTCTTTAATTAGAGCCTTAAGTGTGCGCGTTATTAATGTATCAAGATTTTCTCCCATTTTCAGGTCTCAAGCATGCGTCTGTCCTTCTGATTGGTTATTAGTATTGTATCGGTTCGTATATTTCTCAATTTTTGTTTAAAGGTAATTTCCCTTTAGAAAAAAATAAGTAGGAAAAGATTGTAATTCTTTTTCTAGATTCAAATTTTTAAAAGAGTCATATGAATTTCTATGGACCTTGATATTGATCATCATATATTATATTTGCTGAGAAGTTGGTATTAATAGCTTTTCCTTTGGCACAAACAAAATAAACATTCATTTGATTTTGATCTTTATTAATTCAAAAAAAAGAACTACACTGGATTATTTTTAGATACGTTTTCAAACTTATTATCAATACTAAGTAGCAGCGTGAAATTTGTATTCATTTTTCATGATATTATATATGTGGTTTACATATATCTGGACCGTTGTTTCAGAGTTTAGCGCCATTGATGTGTGGGAGGGGCACACGAAAGAAGAATATAAGAGTCCACTACTTTGCTAACTGCTCCACTTACTACTAATAATATATTCATACTTTGCAAAATGCTCCACTTGATTAAGCATACATACATATATTATTAGGGATAGATATCCATATCATGTAGATATATATTAAATGGGTAACTTAGCTATATATATATATAATTGTCTTTAAGTCTGACCCAGTTCAATAAATGTATCTCTCTTTGATTGTCATGTAATATCGTTCATTTGTGTTTGTAACACTTAATTTGTTTAAACCTGCATTATTTTTACAATTCGAATCACAACTCAAACTTTTAATTACAATATTTTTTTTAACAAAAATTCAAACCTTTTTTTTAAGTGATTTTTCTCATATAAATTCACTTTTAACTCAATTTCTCAACTCGAACCCGTGAGAAAATTAGACTCAAAATGTAATATTTAAATATTATAATCCAACATATATAACAATGAATGTTACACTTAAGCAATCTTTATGTTACGTAAGGCAGAAATGATTTTACACATACATACAGAAAAAGTTACCTTTGTCATATTAGTCAGGTGTCAGATTTAAGATTTTAATATATATATAGGTGTCAGATTTAAGATTTTTATATATATATATATATATATATATCATCTTTCTATCTCTCTAGTCGTCCGAAACTATAGGGATTAATGGGTTCTTTCATAGGGCATGTACTCCCGGGTATAGGGTTTCTTCTCCTTGGGCTATGGCACCTCTTTAACCACATCAAGCTCCATACTCTTCACCCAACTTCCTACACATCCCCGATATGGTTCCCAACCTCCAAGCTCAGGCATCTGGAGCTCGTCCTCATCATCGCTGGCTGCTTTGTCTTCATCGTCATCGAGCTCTTCGTCGGCCCCAAAAAGCACCATCCCTTCGACTCCGACGGCACAATCCCCAACAACCATCTCCACAACGTCGAGCACGCCGTCATTGCCTTGACAATCTTCACATACGCCCTGCTCTCCCTAATCATCGACCGCGCCGCCTTGCCTGCCGCACACGGTGTCAAGAAGGCACGACACAGCCTGTCCTTATTCCTTGCAGCCGTCGCCTTCGCCCAGGAGCTCCTCCTCTTCCGTCTTACCTCGACCGACCACATGGGCGCCGAGGGGCAGTACCATATGCTTCTTCAGCTCATCATTTTCGTATCCTTGATCACAACCTTATTAGGATTCGGATTTCCTAATAGTTTTATGGTCAGTTTTGTTCGGTCTCTAAGTATATTTTTTCAAGGGGTTTGGTTTATTTTAGTAGGTTTTATGCTGTGGACTCCTGCTTTGATCACCAAGGGATGTTGGATGAACCATGAAGAAGGTCACTATGTGGTTCGTTGCGACGGAGAAGCCTCGCTTCACCGGGCCAAGTCTATTGCCAACCTTCTTTTCAGTTTTTTCGTAATTGGAATTGCTGTGTTTGGGGCTTGCTTTTATTTGCGTATGGTTAGGATTTATGGGGAAAATGTTGACTATTTTTCACTTGATTTGAAATCCGACAAAAGAGAGGATAAAAACACTGATGATGTTGAGTTCCAGAAGACAAACGAGCTTAGTGAGAGTTACAAGAGTTTCATTGATGGTCATGTACATGTGCGCAGATTTGAGCTGGCGCCTAGGTAGAGAATTGGATTAAGAGACAAAACAGTAATGTTGAAGTAATTACTCTTTAAGTTTGTGTACTACAATAATAATTAAGCTGGTGGAGATATCCATTCTAGGCTTCTTTTGGATAAATGAATTTGGTTGAAGTACGTGTGATTTCATTTTATTTAATTGTACTGGAGTTTGACTTATCTTCTAATGAAGGTTGAGTTCAATTAGTGTGATCTCATAATTTGTAATATATGTATTGAATACTTTAAATTTTTGGACCCGTTTGACTTATCTTCTATTAGTAGTACCTTAGATTGACTTATCTTCTATTAGTAGTACCTTAGATATCCACTTGATGCGTCAAGAACGTCGAAAATAAACTAAAGTTTGTAGTTTGTGCCAAAGTAGTGCATCAACTTTAAAAAGTATCAGAGAAAACGCTAAATTTATTGAACATTATGAACTAATAGAAATAGCTGCTAAATGATTATATGACATGATTAGTTAAAATATGCATTATTTTTTGTTGTATACTTCTTCCATCAAAATGTCACATTCATATTAGAAGTATTTCGTAATATGAGAGGGGGAAAAAAAAAGAAAGATAATTCTTTGATATTATATGAAAAAAAATACTTTATTAATAAAGTTTTAACCATTAAGTTTTCATCAAATTTATATGAAAACTTCCAATCGTGACTTGAGCCAATGTACTAAAAAGTAATGTTGAAGTATAATTACTGTTTAGTTATAGAAATTAATAGGCCATAATTTGTCAAGTTATGGTTCATAACTAGATAAATTATGGATAAACTTGTCAAGTTATTGTTCATAGCCAGACAAGTTATGGACAATAACTTGTCAAGTTATGATTCATAACCAGACAAGTTATGGACGAAAACAGTAATTTGGCCTATTTATTAACTTATGTAAACTATTGGCCTATTAATTTTAATTCATCTCAAGTCTTAACCTATTTCCCTCTTTCTCCCTTATTTAAATCCTTCGACAAACGAATGAATTCAACTTAGTGGCCCTGAAAAACACCAAATAGTAACGTTAATTTTGCCTAGAAAAAAAACGTATTAAGCTGGTGGAGATAAGACAAAACAGTAATGTTGAAGTAATTACTCTTTAAGTTTGTGTACTACAATAATAATTAAGCTGGTGGAGATATCCATTCTAGGCTTCTTTTGAATAAATTAATTTGGTTGAAGTACGTGTGATTTCATTTTATGTAATTGTACTGGAGTTTGACTTATCTTCTAATGAAGGTTGAGTTCAATTAGTGTGATCTCATAATTTGTAATATGTATTGAATACTTTAATTTTTAGCTGCCTTGCATTTATAATGGTTGGACTATATATATATATGGGAAAGTTTTTAGTCTGGCTGTCGTACAATAAGACAATCCGTATATTTGTAACTTTTGGATATAACATGCATGGTAACATTAAAGAAAATTTACTGTAACATGCCAATAGCCTATGTTTTATTAAATATTACACTTAAACAAAATGAGTACCAAATGAATGTACAAATGATGTTACAATGATTAACAAAAAAATATTGTTAATTTATTGAGATGAAAGAGTGGATGTGTTTGGAGTTGTTTTCATTTTTATTTTTCACATTTTTTTGAGAAAGAAAAAATGAAAATAAGAGAGAAACGGCATTTGGCACAATTAAAGACAAAAACGGAAATGAAAACGATTTTTTAGTTTAGTGTAAAATGGAAGGAAAATGAAAAATGACTTTTATTGATTTTTCATTATTTGTTTCCGTTTTCTCCTCTCTCGAGTAGACAGAGAGAGAGACATTAATAGATTTTTTTATACTGAAAATAATCTCTTGATAAAACTACTAAATATATTTTTAAAAATGATTTATGTCTGAGATTGAAAACTTTTTATTTCTATTCTCATACAAAAAATTAAATCATTTTAGAATGAGTTTTAAATGCACCATATATGCTTTCTTTATTTTTTGATGGATAGAGATAGAGCGTCAGAAAAAATGGGGGAGCGGCAATTTCTTCTTTTTTTTTTTTAAAGGTCTCTTCAGTTTCTTTGTTCTTACGGTTTATTTTTCTTAATTTAAAGATAAACTTCTCTCTGGCAGATTTTAAAAAAGAAACTTAGAAAGAAAAAAAAAAGAACTTTCCACTAAAATAAGGACATGAAAGCAATAAATAGCGAATTTAATTTTTAAAATATGATAGTGACTAAAATATAGGCCTAATATTTAGAAAAATATTTTGGAGCCTTCTGAAAAATGGAATTTAATTTATAAAATATTGTAGTGATTAAAATATACACCAATTTTTAAGAAACATTTTAGGGCATTCCTAACAATGGAATTAATTTTAAAACTATAATAGTGGCTAAAATGTTGGGTTAGTTTTCAAGAAAAATTTTGGGGCCTTCCTAAAAATGGGGCCTTAAGCCATTGCTTAACTTGCCTAGAGGTTAAGCTGGCTCTGCACCTCTGCAGCCACTCTCCACGGAATAACCTTCCATCGCTCACTTGTCTTGGAAGCCCATATATTACGTAAATTTTTGAGTAAATGCAGATGCTAAGAATATTAATTTAATTTTGACAGTACATGTACTACTCTCCACGGAATTTAATTTTTTAATAGGATATGTTAATAATATTACATTAATTTTTGAGTAAATGCAGATGCTGAGAGAGAATAATTTCAGGCAAAGAATTCCTCAAGTGAAAGTTGAAGACGGTGAAGAAATCACATACGAAGCAGCCGATGCCGCCATGAAAAGGTCGATTAAATTCTGGTCATTGGCCTGTTGTATGTGCCCGCGTTATGTTCTACGCTCCTCCACTATTACCTTGTTTTAATCAACATCTTATTATTATAAATGCCTTAAATAAACTAATTATTATTAATTATTTTCTTAGATAATTCATTATTATCACGTACGTAAACGAGTTTGTTAGGATTTTTGTTAGTTGGCAATTGTTTGGCAAAAGGTTGTAAAAATTCAAAAACTGGTGCAAATGGTTTTTGGCGTTTGTGTACAGTTGTGGAGATTTTATCTCTGCATTTTGCTCCCGATTTGGATGGTTGACATCAGTATTGGGATGATTCTTTCCATAGAAGAAGGCAGGCATTTTAGGAATGTATAATCTCACGAGGTTGACTTTGGTCATTTGATTGGCTCTGTCGTTGGAAAGTAGGTTTTGGGAATGTAATTGATTGTAGAGGCTGACGGTGGCAGTGGGTGACAAAAAGAGATGTGTGGCTGATTTGTGTATTCTGCAGGGTGAGTATTTTCTAGAGTGAGGGTCATGAACGTGTATGATTTTGGGGAGAATACGACCTGCAGAAAAATAGTGCTTCTATGATGCCTAATTGGTGATTGAAAGATTTAGCTTTCGGGAGAAGCTTGCATCGCTTTCAGGAGAAAGCTTTCAAAGTCGAGTGGCGCTCGCTAGACAAAGCCATTAAGAGGATTCTTCAAAATGGCGATTACGGCAAAGAGGGATTCTTTGAGTGTGTAAGACCAATTGGTGATTGTAAATCTTTGAACTTAGTGGATTGTTCATTGTTTGAGTATGGCCCCGCAGATATAGGTGTGCGCACCGAACTGCGGTATCATTTGTGGTGTTCTTTCATTCTTTTGTGCATTATTTTCTGTTTATGCACGTTTTCAATTCATTGTCCACTGATTAAATCAGAACGTGACAGTTAATTGTAGGTTTTGCATGTACATCACGGGTACTTTAAATACTGTGTTTAATGAGCATATTGTCACCAAAACGAAGATGGACGGTGGAGATTACATATCGATGGGTCCGAGCATGGTGATGTGCATGGTGCTAAACTACCTCGCCATGCGCATTCTCGGAGAAGGCCCCGACGGCAACCTTGAAAACACTTGCGCTAGAGCTTGCAAGTGGATTCTTGACAACGGTAGTGCAATGGGCTCCGGCTCTTGGGGCTTGGTTAGGTGCTCGGTCAGGGCTCTGTCGAGGCTCAGCCCGGGGCTAGGTCAGGTGCTCGGTTGGGGCTCATCCCGGAGGCCTAGCAAAGTGCGCAGCCCGGGGCTTGGTCAGGGCTTGGCCTAGGGCCTGGTCGGGTGCTCGGCCTTGGGCTCGATCAGGGCTTGGTCATGGCTCGGCCCGAGGCTTGGTCATGTAGACTTGTTCGGCCTGTTCGGACCAAGTACTCGGCCTATTCGGGTTGTTCTTTCTTGTCGGTGTATTCGGACCAAGTGCTTGGCCTATTCGGGTTGTTCTTTCCCGTTAGCCTACTTTTGCTGGGGGTTTATTTTTCCGGCCATAAAAATAACCACCCCTCAATAACAAATAAATGACAATTTGTGTCACTGTTACTTAAATTTACTTGCTTAAATTATTATATGAAGAGAAATTTTTGTATTACAATTGGAACGTATATTTAATCAGATTTTTTTCATGTGGTACAATTACTCATTTGAAATGTTTTATTGAAACAAAAAAGAATTTCGTGAGTATGATTACCTACTCTTTTTAATTATATATAAGTACTTGTATTTATTTTATTAAGTTGTCAATAGTCTGATCTGTGTTTATAACAGTTATGTGTCACATATTGTAAATTTTCAATATTGATACTCACAAATTAGACCTTTGAAATCTTAATCAACAGAATCCAATAGTTAAAGTCACAGTTTATAACCTGACGATAGAAATTATGACAATTCCTATCGCAACAATTTTCTAAAAAAACAAAAAAACAAAAGAAGACATGACAAGGCGATTACTCTCAGTTACCGACCAATGGAGGAAGGAAGAACAACGGGCCGATGCGCATCACTAGCTTGCAATGCTAAAATAGTGTACGGCCCTTGTCATTGCGGCTGTGGTCTTTTCATATGCGATAATCTCACCATCTTCAAAACATGATTTAATTATCCTCTGTTTCATATGAGCACTCCACTTGATTTTGATATGTAGAAAGTAATTTTCAGCATCGAATAATGACAAATTGTCGACCTTTATTTTTTTTTAAATAGATTAATTGTTTTATTCCCCTCGTTTTTCTTTTCTTTCCTAAAATATTACCCCTCCAATTCATTTTTAATGTTTGTCATGTAATTATTGCTTTAGCAATCAATTGTAGCACCATAACGTTGTTAAAAAAATATATAAAAAAAAATGCAGCACTAGTGAATAGTCGTAAGCCAACAATATATGAATGCTATGAAAATTGCAAATTGTTAGAAATATATATTATATTTTATGTTTACCTAATAGGAAAATGCCACTTTTTGTGGTAGCTTCATTGAACTTACGATTTCTATGTAAAAGTTTGAAACGTTCACTTTTAATGAATAAAAAGAGTCCAGTACAATCAGATATGATTAATTATTGATCAATTGGAGTTAATCAGTTAATCAACAACCAGATATGATTAATTACTGATTAACTAAAATTAACTATTGATTAGCTCAAGTTAATTGATGATTAAGTGAAGGGCTTAGAATTTAGATATATATAAATGAAAGGTAATACAGACTTTATACCAGTTGAAAATAAATGAATCAAGGAAATGAAATAAAATGATAAAAACTAATAATCACCTCTTACAAATGATAGATAGTCAAATTAACTGATACTATATTTTATTTTCGGCTTCATCAATTTGTTCGGAACTTTTTCCCTTACTATTACTCGTTTACTTTTCTCCCACTAATATTTTTAATTAGAGTTCTTATGTAGATTTTTTTTTAAATGTTTCTGTTATTAATCTTTGAAATTTAACTTTTAAGTATATCCATATTTATATTTTCTTATAATTACAATTTATACCTATGGTTTTTATTTTTATTTTTAATAATATCACTTTAGTCTTAGTACATTTCGACATTAAGGGCATGTTTAGTTGATACTGCATAAATATTTTTTTGCTAATTTGTTCTTCTTAAAATAAACTTTTTTTTAATCTGTGCCCCACTTAAATAATTCCTCAACTATACTCTTTAAATAGTTTTCTAAGGGAAACTAAATTCTTTTTTTTTTTTTTTTACTCAAAAGAGATTCAACGTACTTGTCTACATATGTAATATTAGACGCAACTTTGGAGCTTCTGCTCCTCGGGCATGGAAGCATGGGACTGGCGCATATGATTCCATAATTTGTTGCAGCTCATATTAATTGTTAGCATGGCGCGCAGCTCACTCACGTCGACGTCAATAATTGTGAGCGAGCATTAATAGAACATTAATACTATTAATTATTATAATAGAAATATATATCCCGATTAGGTAGGACCCGATGTATGATTGAGTACTGTTAACAGATACCATTATTTTAAAGGTGTATGATTGAGTAATGTTAATAGATACCAATATGTTAAAAAGTCTCGTTCTCTTCACAACTCAAACTTTTTCGTTATAGTGTTTGTTCTTATATTAGAATCTCATATTAGCTAGAGATATTGACATGATCCACTTAATAAGATAAGGGCAATCCTCCTTTACCAAGCCGATTTTGTTAGATTGAGTTCGGCCCAATATCCTTTTATTTCTGTAAAATGGTATCAAATAAGGCACAGTTTTGTAATGTTGGGTCCCACAATATCGACTTATTCGCAGCGGTTTGGCGTAGTCCACGCTATGCGTGAGGGGGGCATATTAGAATCTCACATTGGCTGGAGATATTGTCATAATCCACTTAATAAGGTAAGGGCAATCCTCCCCTAACAAGCCAGTTTTGTTAGGTTGAGTTAGGTCCAATATCTTTTAATTTCTGTAAAATCTTATAAAAAAATTAAATTAAATTTTTTTGTTACAGTATTTTTTTCTAACATAAAAAAAGTTTTTCATGTAATTATTGAGGTTGCATGTAGCCTATAAGCCGATCGAGAAGACTAGACCATTATATATATACGTATCACTTTAACATAAGTAGATCATTCGTATCCCATCTTTCTATCTCTCTAGCTAGCGTCCCAAAACCTTAGGAATTTATGGGTTCTCTCGTAGGGCATGTACTACCTGGCATAGGGTTTATGCTCATTGGTTTATGGCATCTTCTCAACAACATTAAGCTCCATGCCCTTCACCCAACTTCCTACACATCCCTAACATGGTTCCCAACCTTCAAGCTCAGGCATCTCGAGCTCTTCCTAATCATGGCTGGCTGCTTGGCCTCCATTGCCATGGAGCTCTTCGTCGGCCCAAAACGGCACCATCCCTTCGCCCCCGACGGCTCCATCCCCTACAACCATCTCCACAACTTCGAGCACGCCTCGATTTCCATGACATTCTTCACCTACGCCCTTCTCTCCCTAATCATCGACCGCGTCGCCTTGCCTGCCTCGCGCGGTGTGAAGCAGGCGCGGCACGGCCTGTCCTTATTCCTCGGCGCCGTGGCCTTTTCCCAGGAGTTGCTCCTCTTCCACCTCCACTCGACCGACCATTCGGGCCCCGAGGGACAGTTCCACATGCTTCTTCAGCTCATCATTCTCGTATCCTTGATCACAACCCTATTGGGAATCGGATTTCCCAATAGTCTTATGGTTGGTTTTGTTCGGTCTTTAAGTATATTTTTTCAAGGGGTTCGGTTTATTGTGATAGGTGTTATGTTGTGGACTCCCGCTTTTGTCGCCAAGGGATGTTGGATGAACTACGAAGAAGCTCACTATGTGGTCCGTTGCGACGGAGAAGCCTCGCTTCACCGCGCCAAGTCTCTTGCCAACCTTCTCTTCAGTTATTTCGTTATCGGAGTCGCCGTGTTCGGCGTCTACTTTTATTTGCGTTTGGTGAAGATTTATGGGGAAAATGACGAGTGTTTTTCACTTGATTCGAAAGCCGACAAAGCGGAGAAAGGCACCGATGATGTTGAGTCCCAGAAGAAGACGAGCATTCTCAGTGAGACTCACAAGAGTTTTATTCATGATCATGTTGGCGGATTTGAGCTTATGCCAAGGTAGAGAAATGGATTAAGAAACCAAAAAAGTACTATTGAAGTACATGTGGTTTGGTTGGGTATGCGTAGAACAATAATTAGGTTGGTGGAGATATCCATTTCTGCTTTTAAATAAATAAGTAATTTGGTTGAAGTACGTGTGGTTTCATTTTAAGTAACTGTAATGGAGTCAACTCGTGGTTCCGCTAATCAAGGAATCTTATTTATAATTTCCTGTTCTGTTCTGATTGTATATAACTTGAGTTAAATAAATGTCATGCTCTCATTTAATTTGTAGTACATGAATCAATGCCCAGTTTTTAGGCGTTGCACTTTATATGGACCACCAATATAACTTACGTAAATGGATAAAGCAGTTCGGGCTAAAAAAAAAGACATTCTTCGGTGCGTCAACCGACCGGGAAGTCGGGTTTTATGTATGTAAAATCTGCATAAAATCACATAAAAATTAAAAAATACACAGATTTAACGATTAGAAAAATTTGACCTACAAGTAAGTCAGGCGTACTAGAGAATTTCTCTTAAAGACATATAAAGAACCTTTAAAAAGAGTTTTTTTTTTTTTTAGATTTTCTGGTATGTCTGGTGTACCGGTAGGCCAAGTTTTTTTAACTGTTAAATCTGCATACTTTTTAACTTTTACGTGATTTATGCAAATCCGATAGATAGAAAACTTGGCATGCCGGTATGTTGGTGTACCAGAGAAGGTCTTTTTTTATAGCCCAAACTGCATCATTTCTAGAGGTTTTATAGTATCTTTGTTTTTTTTTTTTTTTTTTTTAGTGTATTTTAGTTACTTTTTAGGCCAAAGTCAAATATTGACAGATAAAATGTAAGGATTTGTACATTAAACGTAATTTGAAGATATATATATGTATATAATATGTTGATGACATTAAAAATCAAAGGCATGTTTTGTAAATCTATACATGCATAGTTGATGCACGTGTTATGTACGTAACGAACAACTTATAAGTTTAATGTCACGTCAAAACAAGAAAAATTAAACTAGGAAAATATTCACAAATTAAAAGAAAAACAAAACATTTAAAAAAACGGACAAAAGGTGAGACGGGAAAAAATGAAAAAAAAAAAAGCAAGGGGCTGCCACGTAGCATCCTTTGAGAAAGAGCACTTGACACTTTTAATAGTTAACTAGTTGAGCCACGTACTATACATGTGTGGAATAACTTTGTAAGTTTGATTTTCCGTCAAAACACATAACCTCTTTAGAAGTTAAGTCTATTAATTAGAGCCATAGAAAAAAAAAATTTAAATCAAATCGAATACGAATTAAAGTTATATAGGGATTTTTGACAAAAAAAAAAAATTTGAATATGGAGATATTTAAAAAGAATTATACTAATTAAAAAAAGTGAGAAAAAAAAAGTATTTTAAAGATAGATATTGTAAATGAAAATGTGACGGTAGATTGTGGCACAAAAAAAGAGTTGTTTTACAGAAGATTTAACGAAATCTCATATTTTATTGTCGTTAGAGCGACTTTTTTCCCGGCCATTTTAAAGAAGTTAGTCATCAAATCTCTCGCAGCGGGCTATTCATGCCTTTTTTACAACAGTTGAAAACGTCATAAATTCTCATGACGTTTCTTAACTCGCAATTTTACAACGATTTTCAAAATGATCGTGAAATCTTTTTATGACCATGTTTAATTCTCGCTGCACCTTTTTCCTATAGTGATCCTGTTCGGTTCAAGAAAAATAGGAAAACTATAAAGTTACAGTATGAAGAAATGTAAAGATCTGTCAGACAATTAATTGTACCTCACTGGCTTGCACGAGTGAAAAACTAAAGCAAAAAGAATATATAGGCAATTAAGGAAGGAACACATATTACTTCTGGTTGTCATATTGCTGCAAGTTTGTAGCGAGACAACCAGAGAATAAAGACTACATAAAAGGCAAACTGGAGAATAAAGAATGACTTTTCTTCTTTAACAAACATCTCAAAACTTTTCAGCAAGAACATTGAATTAAAGAAAAAGAAGTCGATACTTGTCTTCAACGTTGTGCAATATGTTAGGAAGATGCAACTTAATGTACGTGTATTGTTGCCTTATTGATAGTTGTGGAAAAGTGTGTATCCTATTCTCATATCATTCCCAATTCTCGTAAAGCTTCAGACAATTTCTCAAAGATAACCATGGAGATCGTTTATGGCATAGCTGTGGAAGTTTTGAAGAGGGTAGCTAGTTTTGCCGACGAAAAGATTAGCTTGGCATGGGGCATGAAAGACGACCTAAAGCAGCTTGAGGAGACCATGTCCACTCTCGAAACTGTGCTCTTAGATGCCGAGGAGCAGCAGCAAGAAAACAAAGAAATAGAAGTCTGGTTGAGGCGGCTTAAAAATGTCTTCCTTGATGCTTGGGACGTGCTGGATGAATATGAGTGTGAACTGCTCAGAAGAGAAGTGGTGAAGACACATGGAAGCATTGGTAGAAAGGTACGTCGTTTCTTCTCGCACTCCAATCCACTTGCGTTCAGCTTTAGCATTGCTAACCAAATAATGGCGATAAGGCAAAAGTTAGATAATGTTGCTAAAGATAGGAGTAATTTCCATCTAAAAGAACATCATCAGGATGCAAGGCAAGTGCGGAGGGAGATGACATCTTCCTTTGTTAGGCCTTCGGAAGTTATTGGTAGAGAAAGTGACAAAGATAAGATTGTGAAGTTATTGATGCAAAAAGACAACAATAATAGTATCTCTGTTATACCGATAATAGGAGTTGGGGGTCTAGGAAAGACTGCGCTTGCCAAGTTAGTGTACAATGATGGCAGAGTTGCTAACGAGTTTGATGCAAAACTGTGGGTTTGTGTGCAACAAGATTTTAATGTTACCGAAGTGACAAGAGAAATTCTCATATCTTCTATCAGTGCAACTAATACTGTACATCAATCGTTGAAGCAAGCAGGAGATGTTAGTAATTTGTCTGTAGATCAGTTGCAATTGTTCTTGCGAAGCATTTTAAAGGACAAAAAGGTTTTGCTTGTACTGGATGACGTATGGAATGAAGATCGCGGTAAGTGGAACGAGGTGAGAGATTTGCTGTCGGCAGTTTGCGCTATGGGGAGCAAAGTCATAGTCACAACACGCAATACTCAAGTAGCATCAATCATGGGCACAACTCGGACACATCATTTGGAATGTCTCTCTGAGGAGGATTCTCTGTCTTTATTTTTCAAATATGCATTTGTAGATGAACAAGAGGCTGCACGATTTCCAAAACTAAGAGATATTGGCAAGCAAATTGTACAAAAGTGTGGAGGGCTTCCTTTGGCATTGAAGACTTTGGGGAGCGTGCTTTGCTCAAAAACTGATGAAGCTGAATGGATTTATGTGAGGGATAGCGAGATATGGGAGTTGAGACGAGAGCAAAATGATCCTATTTTAGCTGCACTGAAATTAAGCTACAGTACAATGTCTCCGTCCTTAAAGCAATGCTTTGCTTATTGTTCTCTTATTCCAAAGAACATTCAATCGGGTAACTTGGACATGACCAGGATATGGATGGCATTGGGCATCATTCAGTCACGTAATGAAAAAATGGAGTTGGAAAGTATTGGGAAACTGCATTTCAAAGAGCTTTGCGGCAGATCTTTCTTTCAATATCTTGACGATGCCGAGCAACAGTTCAATTTAATTCAGGATTTTGAAATGCACGATTTAGTTCATGATCTTGCAACTTCAATCATCCGACATGAGTTTGCCGAAATAAGTTCCAACACTAAAACTGCCCCAAATGAGAGAGTGCGGCATTTGAGGATATTCTTGATGGATGGCCATGATCAAAGCATCGTAATGATCTTGCAGAAGTTACAAAAAGTGCGGAGTATTTTTTTTGTAAATAAAAAGGGTGAAGAGCCTAATATCGAGGAGTCCTTCCTTTCCACATGCATCTCAAGACTCAAATACTTGCGCCTCTTTTTTTTAAGTAATTTTTCTTTTGAGGTGCTGCCAAGTTCAATTGGTACTCTCAAGCATTTGAGATATCTGAACTTAAGTGGAAACAGAAAGATCAAAAAACAGCCCAATTCAATTTGCAAGCTGCAAAGTTTGCAAACTCTGTACCTTCATGGGTGTTCAGAGCTTGAGGAGTTACCAAGAGATATAAGAAACTTGGTCAGTCTCAGAACTCTCTACATAACCACAAAAGAAACCTACTTTTCTGAGAATGGAATTGGATGCTTGAGATCTCTTCAATTTTTGTTTATTACTGAATGTAGAAACTTGAGATCTTTGCCGCAAGATATGAGATGTTGTACCACATTACGCACTCTGGTTGTAGATGAATGTGAACAACTTGAGTTGGCGAGTGGACGCGATGAAGTAATCAACAACCAGTTGAGTCTTCAAACATTGATGATTTATAAATTGCCACAGACGACAGCTTTACCCCAGTGGCTACAATGCGCTGCCGACACTCTACAACTTATGGTTGTTCAAGATTGTTGCAAATTAGCCGCATTGCCAAAGTGGCTGCCGAACCTCACAACACTTGAGACGCTTGCGATTGTTGATTGTCCGAATTTGTCTTCTCTGCCTGATGGGATGGAGCGGCTCACGTCCCTAACACGCTTGGAAATTGGAGGTTGCGATGCATTGGAGGAGAGATGCAAACGTGACATTGGTGAGGATTGGCCAAAGATTGCTCATGTTCCACACTGTCTTATTGGTTTCGAATCTGATGAGGATCACTAGGTACGCCTTCACATATATGTTTTGTTTTCTATTCTTCCTAATCAGATAAGCCTGTTCTTACTATAAATTTACATCATCATGATTAATTTCTATTTACCAATATTTTTTCTCTATTTTTTTTGTGTTGCTGGTATTCATGTTCTTGAATATTATTGCCGCGGAGAGGGAAAACATTTATTATACCAATACTAGAGTTTTATTATGTAAGAAAATTTCATCCGGTACCTAGAGTCTATTATTTTTTACATATAAAGGTTTCGATTAACTTTTAGTTTTTTTTTTAAT